GGTATCATGAGGTACTCATTTGTACATTTTAGGTACTAATTTGTATGTTGAACGTCCTTGACATGATAGGTACAATAGTGTATCTTTTACAAATGTACTACCTCTATGACCTATTGTATCTCTATTTCAGATAGTGTAAATCCTCCTGATCAACTAAAAAAATAAAATTAAATTAAATTAAATACAAATGGCTGAATCAGGAAGATAGCACTTGTGCCAGAATGGATGCCAGTTGAATTAATATTGTCCTCATTGCCTGCCAATTATGCCTTATGAACATTAAAATATAGTAATGTACTGTATGTAATGTATGATTAGGAAAAATGAGCACTGACTGACTTTGAATATGACTTTCGCCACTACAGATTTTGAACGTTGAGACATCACTAGGTAGACACTAGGCCTATAGACAGAAGCTAAATATACCACAATCTCAAAAGTGTATATATTCTTAATTAGGTTTAATGTCAGGTTAACCAAACAAAGATGAGTTCAGAGGTCAGAGTTTATTTTTAGGTTAGCACATAGGGTCAGGGAGTTTTTAAAGACACAAAAGACTGCTGGTTAAACTGTCACATTATTTGAGGTTTGCATTATTTTGATGTTTCCCTTGTTTAAACAAATTGCAATATGTACCAGGAATTATGGTTACGCCACAGAAACGTTTCTGATTGAGCTGAGACAGACAGCTGATAAATAAGCTCGCCCGCATTCATTTTCGCTTCAACGGCGCCACAACGCCATCTGGTGGCTGCATGAAATGTGTTTTGGTTTTGGAAGCCGTCCAGAAGACACTTAAAATTAATTATCCTAGATCAGTTTTGTCAGTTTTGGACATACTGTACCATCCAGCAAATCTTACCTTTGGCAACAGGAAAGAAAGCCAGCTGAAAGATGATCTCAACAGATATTGACTAATATTTCTTTTGTGAATGTCAGTCCTACAAGTCAGCACATGGAACTATAAGTGAAAAGAGGATTTCTTACATTTTAACTGACTACATAAATCATTAACATATTACTGTCTCTAAGACACAAAGGCTTGACTATTCCTATAGTAACTTGCTTTTCTTTAGATGTCTTTGTATTAGCATGCTGCTAGTGCTAGCAATTTATACATTTAGGCTACTACATTTATAGCCCTGCTAATCTTTCATATTTTTATATTTTTTACATCCTAAGCAGCCTGGTTCCAGGTTTTGTCATTAGAGGTGAACTGGAGATGAAGAGGAGAACAGATGAGCACTGCAGGAAAAGAGATGGGAACTTGTTGTGTCAGACACATTTCTCCTCATGTTACATCACAGGTGGAGGTCTGTCATGCTAAAGCAGAGATGCCCAGACTAGGGCCCGCACACCAAAGTTGGCCCGTGGTAACCTTTGATTTGGCCCACCATCCCATCTGGAGGAATGATGGGGATGGTTTAAAGATTGTCATTTAAACCTTTTATTGTTTCTTAATGACATTTTGTTTAACATGTACATACTGTCACCTGATGAATCGAGGACAATGCAGAGATGTGTGTGAATCAAGGCAAAGGCAGATTCTACTTGCACTAAACTACACTTATAAATGTGATTTTTTTTTTTTTTTTTTTTTTTGCAATATGTTATAATTACAGTTAGTTTATATGATTTAAAGTGATGTTTTCTATTTATTTATAAATATTATAAAATTAATTTGAAAATAATGCAAATTTATCTTTGGCCTATGGCTATGATGATATTTGGATTTTGGCCCTTCATATGAAAATGTTTGGCCACCCCTGTGCTAAAGCATTTGCGAATGTCTTATTGGGCATCCATTTAAGGATAAAATATTACACGCTCGAATATTTTAAGTATCAGATGTCAGTTTGAGTGCTTACCTGCTTCAAATGAAAGATTATTTGGCATAGCAACTCGGCCTCCTTCACAGATATTATATCATCACCTACAAATATAATATGTGGTTATAACATCTGGGTAAAGCAGATCAAACCATCTGTTTCCATGTGCTTACAATCTGTTTATTTACTAAAGATTGAGTGCTACGACAGACTAGTACATTTTTGTGTTAGACTTCGAAACTGTGTCTTAATCACAGTAAAATAGAAGCCAAGCTCACACATTCAATTCCCAGAAAATGTCTGAAGAGAGAAAATGTTAATCTGAATTAAGAGCCCGATACAAAACATCTGACAAATTCTTATTACTATTTTTTTTCACAAATTTTCAGCACTTTTATTCAGAAAGTTTGAATTTCATTTTAATTTCTAATAACTGTTGGTAAATGGGACTTCTTTAAAAATAAATTTATACTGTGACATATTGAAATGCAACCTTTTTTTTTGTAATTGAAACCAAAAATCCTTTTTAAAAAATGTATTTGTGCCTGTGTAAAAAGTCAAGTGAACTGAATGGCATTTTTCCGATATTTTATTTCCTGGAAGTGCTGTGAAGAATGTATTTTTGTTCCCAAGTGTCTGCCCCTTTTATTCCAATAAAAACTAAGGAAGTAAAGTCTGTTTATCTTTAGATGACTTTTTTTTTTTTTTTTGGTTAGGCTATTTTTATTCATATTGAAATGGTAGCTATTACTGCAGTCTAATAGTGACTCTTGAAAGAGCAACTATGATTATTATTTTTATAGAACGAATTGCACAACCCAAATAACGGTGCAGCTGCTTGGTGAATTTTTGTGGCTGTCTGAATATGAGTCCTGATGTCGGCTATTTTATTCAGTTTTCCCGATCAGTTATTTTTTTAACTGTGGTGAGATTTGTCTTCAATGACACATTCTTCAAGAAATGCGTCAATTTCTTGTGCTTAACTTCAGGAATAATTGTAGAACAGATTAAAAAAAAATTACGGTTGCCTACTGCATGCGTACTGTTTCTGTACATTACTGTAAGTTTCAGTTAAGTCCCCAAATCTTGCTTTCATATATTAACTTACACCAGTCTTATGGCAGTATTCACAACACTGTTCAAATGCTGATTTATTTATGAGTCAGCCTCACAGCAAGAAGGTTGCTGGTTCGAGTCCTGGCTGGGCCATTTCGCTTTACAGAGTGGAGTTTGCATGTTCTCCCCGTGTTGGTGTGGGTATACTCCGGGGTCCTCCGGTTTCCCATAGGTGAATTGATTAAACTTAATTTTCCATAGTGTTCATTCATTCATTCATTTTCTTGTCGGCCTAGTCCCTTTATTAATCCGGGGTCGCCACAGCGAAATGAACCACCAACTTATCCAGCACGTTTTTATGCAGCGGATGCCCTATGAGTCGCAACCCATCTCTGGGAAACATCCACACACACACACACACACATTCATACACTACGGACAATTTAGTCTACCCAATTCACCTGTACTGCATGTCTTTGGACTGTGGGTGATACCGGAGCACCCGGAGGAAACCCACACAAACGCAGGGAGAACATGCAAACTCCACACAGAAATGCCAACTGAGCCAAGGTTCGAACCAGCGACCTTCTTGCTGTGAGGTGACAGCACTACCTACTGCGCCCCTACGTCGCCTGTCTATAGTGTATGTGTGTGAATGAGGGTATATGGAGGTTTCATAGTACTGGGTTGCAGCTGGAAGGGCATCCACTGTTTAAAACATATACTGGATAAGTTGGCGGTTTATTCCGCTGTGGTGACCCCTGAAGAAAAATAAATGAATCTCTGTGTCCCTTTATTACAGTTTGTGGTTTCATGAAGTTTTTCAGGACCTAATGATCACATCAGCGCCGATTGATTGTCATCACCTTTCTTAACTTCTTTGAACTTAAGGTCATGAGATGCTAAAGGATCTTAAGTTAACAAACATCCATTCTAACAAGGTTTTTCCTGTAGATTAAAGTGTAATTAGTGATAACTAAGGACCCTTTATTTGTAACTTTTTCATCTTCCTTGAGTACATTTCTGTTCTTTATCACTGTGAGTAGGTTTGATCATCAAAACCAGTGATGTCAAGCACTTAGCAAACCTCCATGGAGGGCCACAGTAAGATAAATAAAAAAATCAGAGAATGATCTTTTGCCTGCCCCAAAAAAGTCACATAAAGGCACATAAAAAAGTCAGTCAGAAATTGCTTGTAAATTGCTTTTCTACAAATACAAAAAACTAAATCAATGAAAAATGATATTGCATTGTATATGGTGGAATAGTGGAGGCCTTATAAATATTTTGGGGTTGTGATCTAAACAAAACTGATCAAAGAAACTTTTGTAAAATAAAAGGTTTTCTGACACTTCTAAGCCAATAAAGAACCTTGATTTGTTTATTTGTTTATTTATTTATTTTATTATTTTGTTTTTTATTATTATTATTGTTGTCAAATGGGTTGAGAACACTCATTTACATGTAATGTGTTAACAAAGTTTGAAATAGTTAAGATAAATCTGGATATTTATTATTCATTTTCCTTCAGCCTAGTACCTTTATTTATCAGGGGTCGCCACAACAGAATGAACCGCCAACTTTCATATGTTTTACACAGCGGATGCCCTTCCAGCTGCAACACAGTACTAGGAAACATCTGTACACACTCATTCACACACATACGCTTTACAGCCAATTTAGTTTATTCAGTTCACCTGTACCGCATGTCTTTTGACTGTGGGGGAAACCGGAGCAACCTAAGGATACCTATGCGAACACAGGGAGAACATGCAAACTCCACAAAGAAATGCCAACTGACCCAGTCGGGACTCGAACCAGTAACCTTCTTGCTGTGGTGCTAACCAGTGAGCCACCATGTTGCGTAAGTCTGTAAATTTACACTTAATAAAAATTTTTCTTTTCTTTTCTGTTGTATTATTATTAACTTCAATTACATAAAGCTATAGTTTGGAAAGATGTTGCTTCTAAAAATACTTAAAACAAATGTTAGCTTTCCAAAAGGAAGCTGATTCATTGTGCCCCACCAGATGTCGCTAAACCTTCAATCCTGCAGCTTCACCCATCCCAGCATTTCAAGTTTGTATTTATTTGAATGGTCCTTCCTTTCCTCTGAAATCCTCTCAAATTCCCGTTTCTTCCTGGTTGCGCGTGGACACACTCTCGGATATATAACGTGCTCTAGGATGCACAGACAACTTTACACAATGCTATGGTGGGTGTTTACGAAATACGCTGGGCTGGCAACGTTTAACAAGTTATATGTTGTGTACGTGCTAAGTCCTTGTTTGCTAGCAGGTGATTAGCTAGACTTGTTTGCTTATCAGCTAGCTATCTCGTGTGTTTTCGTCACCTGCTTTGATATAGGGACCACTGTGTGAGTGTCGAGTAATCTCTAGTTTTGTCTTTTGCAATTTAAGTTAGTTAAAGATTGGCGACTGTACGTTAAAGTGTGGTTGGCTTAATTAGCTCGCTAGCGCTAACAAACCCTACACCTAAACAACAACGTCACATCACTGGAGGCCTAAAGCTCCGTCTGACAGATGTCTAGACGTTTACCAAGAATGCTAACTTATTAATTTGAAATATTTAAGTTGGATTTAATTGAACCGGTTCGTAGATTCACCCTCTTCCTCTGACTCAGCGTAACGTGCTACGTGGTAAGACCCTATGGGTAAGACGTCCGTTTGAAAATACAGAGCATCCTATTTGTATCTGATAACGAACTATGGGTTATTTGCAAGACACGAATAATATAACATGTTTGTATATATAGTATTTTTTAGTATAAGTTTATATTAAGGTAATGAAACCCAGTCCTAATTAAAGGGTATTAACGAGTATAGAACCTTAGCATATGTTCCCGTCTTGCTTTTTGGCAACCAAATAACAACCTTCCAGCAACCCTTTCGGATTTTTTGTGATCAAAACCTTTTTTCTTTTATTTTGTGGTAAATCTAACGAAAACATTGTTTCATTTTTAATGTTATTACTTTAATAAAGATCATTTGACAAGTTTTATTGAGAAACTGATTGTTGTCATACACTCTAAAAGAGAAGCTATACAATTGAGGCTTTGAGCAAACAAACTGCAGCTGTTTGCTTTAACAACACCATGTATCCTGCCCTGTGCCAAATATATATATTTTTCCATTGTACTCTAGAGTCCATTATTATGGCCACTGGAAGTCATGTTGGAAGTAATGCAGAAGTCCACAGGCTCAAGCAGGCTCAGCCCCATGACCTTCTCAAACGTATGCTTTGTTCTGGAGATGAGAAGAACATGAGGGAGGTAAGACCATTTCATTCACACAGACAGTGGTTTGTTATGCATATTCATGGTGGTGTTCGTTTCGTTTTTTAGTTATGAAAAATATTCAGTGTTTTTAGCTGGAATACACTGCCCAATATTTGTCCAATTTTACGGTCTTGATGTGTAAGCATTATATGTAGAAGTTCAAAGGCAGTCTGCAGTGTTTTTGGCAGTCATAGAAGCTCACATGATAGGCTCAAACAAGGTAATTGTTGGTAAAAGAAGATATGTATTTCTGTTTTGGAGCATTTTAGTGCATAGCTATTGCAATGTGTTTGCGCGAAATAGTCACATCGCAGAGTGTGCAATGTTAAAATATATAGTTGACTAGGAGAGACTGTTCAGAACACATTAGGTTTGTTGGGCCACTGGAGAGTTTAACCATGATGGAGTGAAAGTTTATAATATGCATGTTTTTGTGAGCATTTTAATAAATTTAAGAATGAAATTCAGTAATCTGGCACAATAAATGTTACTGTTTGTAACTTTAATAAACATTAATTTAATTGATTTATGCAGAGTTTTGTGCTGTTGTTCATTTGATTATTTAATTTCTGTGCCTGAATACTGCTAGACTCTCCAGGAAACCATAATGTACTGTTGATTTCACTTTTTATCTTTGCTCTGTTGTATTTATCTTTGCTTGTCATTTGTTTGCTACATGTAATGCATGATTCACTCTCCTAAATAATCATCCCAATCAATCTAAAATGAATAAACTCTTCTCAAATAGAGCTTCTGCTTAAATTGTAATTGCAATATACAGGGGGTCCGTGATGTCTTAAAGTCTTAAAATGTCTTAAATTTAAAAAACAAAATTTAAGGCAATAAAAAAATCTTAGTTTCTGTATAATGATGAATCGTATATCTTAAATTATTTTAATCAGGTCTTAATTTTCCTATGTCCAGGAAAAGCTACCCTATCGGCCTGACACCCAATCACAAATAATCCATCTAAACTTTTCTTTTATTTTTATGCTTTTTTATTATTGCAAAGAGATACAATTCACAACAACTGGTAAACATTTTACAGTGAATGCTCCAAATTAAATTCCCTATTCAGAGAAAGACAACTAAGCAGCACATCCCTTTACATGATCTTCCATTAATACAAAAACTATTTACAGAAATAACCGGCCTATTGGGAAAAAATCTTTATTTTAGCCCTGTATAAGTCTAAAATTTCATTCATAATTGACTTAAAAAGTCCTAATTTTGACCTGAAAAATAAATATTGCAACAAATTATCACAATGTCTATTTTTCTCCAATATGGCCCTATATCAGTTACTATGCGGGTTTCATTCTAAAATGATCACAAAAACCAAAAAGTCACTGTAACAAAAACGTTTCCTTGTTTTCAGATACATTTATTTACAGCCAACTTAATGATGTTATAACTTGAGCAGAGTTAGGAAAGCAATGTTTAGTATCAATTACAACAAAAGTTGACTTTTCATTTTTTTGAAACGACAGCAAAAATTGTCTAAATGACAATATATTTATTTAAAATTTGGGGGAATATGATGTTATACAATAAATCAATTCAGAAAAAAAAATGTTTTTTTTATTGCTCTCTAGTCTGGTAATTTATTGTTTGCTTCCCACTTTTTTTTCTGGTCACCTAGAAAGTTTGATACCTACTGTTTTTAAATCTATTCAGATTTTAAGCATTGTGTCATGTAATCCAGCTTTTAGTAACACAACTTTTTAACTGTTGTCTCTTTTTTTAGGTGGATTATTTACTGAAGGACGAAACTGATCAAGAGAGGTATGTTTTTGAACTATACAGTAGCTTACTTTTACAAATTGAGGTAAAATTGGATTTATATTCGCACATTTGTTCAGTGACAACTTATTGACACAGTCTCTATATTGTTTACAACTCTACTTTGAATATTCTGTCTCAAATCACAAGTGAGTATGTCTTGAAATCAATGTTAGCACTAATTAATTGCTTGAACAATGTTGTACTTTTATAGTTATTCACTACTAATATGATTTCACTCTTTAGAATTTGCAAAAAGTACTATACTGAAATTATTTTTAAGGAGAAAGCCTGAATGTGTGAATATAAAACCAACTTTACCTCAATCTTTTACAAGTCAGTTTTAAAGTATGAGATTGTGTTCTGCTCAATTACACAGATTTCCAGTGGGCCGTTGTGTGCACAAATACAGCAAAACGAAGAGAGAGGGTGTTGGCAAGAAGAAAACTCGTCTCTCTGGGGTGGGACCAAGAGCATGTCGGAAATTGCCCACCACAAGCAGGACATCTGACATGGCAAACAAAGAAAACGAACTGACCTGCGTTGATGAAGTGCAGGCTTTTCTTTACAGTGACAACTGTGGGTTCCCAGTGAACTCCACAGACGCAAAAATGGCAGGAGCTGGCTCCAAATACAGCGATTATTTTACTGAGGTGAGCTAATGCTGTTTTATGTAAAGCCTACAGGTGTGTTCCAAATTATACACTACACACTGTTCTTTTTACACTTTAGTTTGTTATTTTTACATCGTAAGACCCTCCACTTTTTAATTCAAGCTCCATCAGTTGAACACTTTTTTTTTAATACATTTTTTTTTTTACATTAGTGTATCATCCACATTTTTGAAAGTGCACTATTTTTACTTTTCGTAATTGTGAATGCAATGTTTGCTCTATTCCAAAAAATGGCATAGAATATGCTTTTATAATTGTCTATGATATAGTCTTCAGGCTATCATGTTTGCAGTGTATCTTTCATGGCAAACTGTGATTTGAAAATGGTATTATTTATACTAACTTAATTTGTTGAATTTCAGTTATCAAAGGACCATGAAGCAATGAGTCATGTGCTCTTCGGAAGGAATCTCAGACTGAATGTTGCTTTGACTCTTTGGCGGAAAAATGCAAGCGAACTAGTGGCATACTTAAACAGGTTAGCAGTTTCACATTTAGTGGAATGAAGTTCCAATTAATCAGAAAACTGACTGGTAAACATTTTTTCATCATTAAAAAGGTTGCATTTAGTTGATCAAAAGTCATTGTAATCTTGCTTTTACTTAAGAAATGACTGTTACAAAGTTAGGCATCTCAGCTGTTTTTAAGGTTTTGTAGTAATACATTTTAGAAAATCACCATGTTCGAATAATTGGATTCTATGATTCACGATTACACAAGGACTGATTGACTGCTGTACATTCAGTTTAGGTTGTTTTATAATTTCTAGACATTTTTATATCACTATTTCACTGCATTTTTATGTAATTAATCCTGCCTTGCTAAGCATAAAAGGCAAATTAAATATCACATGCAACTATAGATTTATTTAAAAATAAATGCAGTGCTCAACATGCACATTAGATAGTCAGTACTGAAGACAAATCTGGATAACGGTCCAAAATGAATACAACCAAACTTAAATGTTAAGCAAAAATATTGAATAAAACATTTAACAATAGCAAAATTCAAGAGAACAAAAATGTAAAAAAAAGAAAAAAAATTATTTAAACAAACTATATATTTTGCATGAATTTCAATGTATTATCTTTATATTTCTAAAGGTGTTCGTTGACTAAAATATCATTCATTCATTTTCTTTTTGGCTCAGTCCCTTTATTAATCTGGAGTTGCAACAGCGTAATGAACCGCCAACTTATCCATCATTTGTTTTTTGCAACAGATGCTCTTCCAGCTGAAACCCATCACTGATATCCATACACACTCATTATTACACATACACTACAGACAATTTAGCTTACCCAGTTCACCTATAGTGCATGTCTTTGGACTGGAGGAAATCCACACAAACACAGGGAGAACATGCCAACGACACAGTAGAGGCTCAAACCAGTGACCATCTTGCTGTGAGGCAATCGTGCTACCCACTGTGCCACAGACTAAAATATTTTTTTAATAAATAAATCTGTTTTGTTCAAATGCCCCAATATATATTACCTATATTCACTGAGAAATGGATATAATTAATCATTTTCATAATGGGATGTATTCATTTTTGTTGAGCACTGTATATGTGTGTGTATTTGTTTATTTTTTTCAATTGAAATGCTGCATGCATATAATTATTTTTATTTACAGAATACAAGACACGGGGGTGCTTGTTGACTGTTTGCCTGTACTTACTAAAAGGTACCGTAGCCTATTCAAAAACATTTTTCACGACTTGTAAATTCATTCAAAGTTTGTCACCGATGTAATAGGAAGACATTTATCTTCATGACAATTTCTTTTTTTAGTCTTCAGGGAGAACAGCCATGCATTTCACTGGGCTGTTGTGTTGATCTTTTTCCACAAGTGAAAATGATTCTTAACACTAAATATGAAGAGTGAGTATTCTGTCCTTTGCCTTGTGCATTCTGATGTACTCTTACTGTTTGTTGTAGTTCTACCTAAATTGGACTTCATCTTTGTTCTAGACACCTCATCGTAGCTTTACACTGGGTTCAATCTATCATTAAGAAATGGTGGTCTGAGCTCTCCACAAACAACAAAAGTTTGCCCGAGAGCAGTTCAAACGACAGGTGCGTTATTTCTACCTTTACTGAGGTTAAATGGCAAAACATCTTAGAGAAATCTGCTAAAGACTCAACAAGCTTGTATCTAACAGGAATGTTCAGGCAATGAAGACAATGCTGCTTGAACTGTGGCAAGGAAAGAGTCACTTAAGCTCAGTTCCAGGAACTGTAGGAGAAACTGCAAAGGTGGATAAATCTAATCATCAACTTTGTAAATTGAAAGACTGCAGTGTTTTACAAAAAATGTGTCTTGCCTATTTCCTTATCCTCTTGTTTTCTTTCACAGGTCATCGAATCATATGTGTCACAACTGCGCTGATGTATCAATGTAGCACACTAAGGAGAAAACCACTATAAACTCTTGGTGTATTTTAAGCTCTTGAGGTTGGTGAATCTGAACTCAGTAGACTGTGGTGAATTGGGGGTAGATGAACTGAACAATTCAGACACTCCAATTTCAGCACTGGAGGAGGAACTCTTCCTGCAGGCACCGAATGACTGCTTCACATTGAAGTGGACTTGCTTAGGGGCACATAATCAACTCCATGAGACTCTCTGGAATCAGGCGACTCACTGAAGTGCCAAGCAGACGTTTTAACTGTTGCACTTGTAGTGCCATGGTGTGAATCTGCTTAAGTGGATGTGATTGTGTAAGTGTACCTTTATCGGATGTTTTTTCAGTCACGCACTTGAATTGCAGGAGTTTTAAGTTATTAGTGTTGTTTTTGTTTTGTCGTCTGTTGCCTGATCGTGAATGAATATTTGAGTGTCATGTGTACATAGTGATTTTTCTTTTAATCGGCTTTCAAATAAATTGACATAATCTAAATGTTTTGTATGAATATTTATATATTAAATGCATGTTTTTTTAAGGGGATAGTTCACACAAATGTGAAAATTCTCTCATCTTTTACTAGCCCTTCATTTGTTGAACGCAAAAGATGTTTTGAAAAATGCTGGTAACCCTTTTTTCTGCGATAGAAGTCAATGGCTGCCTGATTAAAAACCACATTAGAGAGAAATAGTTTTTTTTTTCTTTTTTTGTGTGAATATCTCTTTCTTTCACTGATGTATAAAGAAAGATCCTTTACAACATTTAGCAAAATGATCATCGTGCTTATGGGATATGCAATATACATATTGCAAAAATGCGTTAAATTACATTTATGCATTGGCTGTTTATCTAAATTTGGCCAATCAGATGCTTACTATATTTAACCTCACCTTCCAAGTATTTGTTTTCACATTGACACTGTTTTTCTCTGAATTAGAATTAATTAAATCTAAAAAATGTTTTTTACCTATTTATTTTAATATCAATAAGTAATTTATTTAAAACATGGCTAATAAACTAGAGAAGTGTTATATTGTAAGACCGTTATACTCAACAGTAATAGGGCATATTTCTCCAGCAATGTGCAGCCCTACTATCAAACCCTTCCGAAACTAAAAGAACTTATTAAAGCCGAAAACCTAATTCAGTTTTTTACAATAATATTCAGTGGAGATGCAGAGATGATTCATGAAACTGCTTTGTCAACAACTCATTTGACCTAAGCGTTCACTGGAAATTATTATTAATCAACAAAAGAAATTTACATGCACTATAAATATTTGTATGTCTATAATTGTACTCGTTTAAGAGATTAAAATACATTAGATTTTAATTAGATTAAAACGTAATTAATCAACATTCACACTAAACTGGTTTTAAGTTAATAAATATATGATTGCAACTATGTGACAAGAAAGTAAAACAAAAACTAAATAATTACCATAATTGCTATATTATCGTAACAATAACTATAGTCATAGTAAACAGAAAAATTTGGTTATTTATGGGTGTAAGGGGATCAGTTTGGGATATTTTATGTGCTACTTGTGTAACCTTGTGAATCAAAATCACATTGTTGTGATTTTCTTCAGTTCTATTCAATATTGTAATGTTAAGAAGTATTTATTTATTTATTTGTTTATTCATTTATTTTAAATAAGTCAGGGGACCACTTAGGGGTCCATAAAAATATTTGTTGAAAAAAAATAGTAATAAACAGTAAAATCAGCTTGAGTTTTTTTATATAAGCTCATTAGTTTACATTAACATTAATAACAATAATTATAATTCATATAAATAATCCAAAAATTTTTTTTTTAATTCTTTAAAACGTATTATATATAGGGACCACATACAATCAAATTATATATATATATATATATATATACATTTTTTTTTTTTTTTTTTTTTTTTAACATAATACAGTGAGTATAAAATATCTACCTGTTTATATTGACAATATAAATCGGATCGAAACCACGTGATGTTGTAGAATTGATCAGTTGTCTTTTGAAAGACTCGATCCCACCAGAGCATCGAATCACCTATGATTCTCGATTCTAAGCTCTGATCCCACCCATAGCCTGTAAAAAATAGATCCCACCCAGAGTGTCACGTGGCCTAACAGATTTTCTTCCGGTGTCTTTGCAGTGTGAGTTCCGCTTACCATTGACTGTCCTCATCTGAGTCCTTTTCGAGCGCATTGGATTGACGCGTATAGATAAATTGTACATTTTGAACGTCATAAATATCGTGTGTCAAAGCACAATGCCACACATAAAGCGTTTGTTAGATGTATATATAGCGCTGCAGGCTTTGTTTGCGTTGTCATGGGGGTTTTCTGACCCAGAGCCGGGGCCTGTCGCAGCTTCTCAGTCCAACGGAGACCGCTTTAAAATCGAAGGACGAGCGATCGTTCCCGGAGTGAAAACACAAGACTGGATCTCGACTGCCCGAGTCCTGGTGGAAGGGGAGGAATATGTTGGTTTTCTCAAGTGAGTATTTTTAGCTGCTAGGCTAACGTCAAACAGAGTGATGTAAACAACCGTTTGTGTGTCAGTAATGCTGGATGTAAGTTACAACAGCGCCTCACAACACTCGCAGAACCACAATCTATATTATGATTGCCTTGTTTGAACCATAAATTCGTCTTCCTAATGTGAAACAATATGTTGACACAAAGTTGTGTGTAATGTCATAGCACGTAACTGCTGGGCGATTAACGTCAAACGAAGGCGATTTTCATGTTAATTCGATCGGTAACTTTAAAGCCGGAGTTATGTCAAAAAAGGCAGATTAACGTTGTGCCTCCCGGTGTTATTGGATCAAGTAGCGAGTTCAGAGAGAGTGCGGAAAAAAATGTCGGGGTGTCTTTTTCAGCACTTGTTCTAGTAAGTTAACTTAAATCTCCAGTAAATGCTTTGAGATAGAGAGGTTTAAGCGGATATTTACAACGAGATGACCATTAAGTAATAATAGTCGATTTGTCCCACCTTGTCAGATTGTCCTACCTCCCCTTCAAAAAGTAGGTAGCATATTTTGATGACGCAATATGGTACTCATATTATGCTACCAGTGTACGTTTTAATGTGAAGTAGTGTGATATGAAGCTTAAATATCGCCCTAACCTCAACCTCAACCTCAGAACCATTCAAACATAGTGTTGTTGGTTGCATAATTTGATGGGTAGGACAAAATATCAGGAGACCGGTTCTGTGTAGTAAATGCTGCACTTGAAAATGACACACTCACTTAATAAGATAATTCCTTCATTCATTTTCTTTACAGCTTAGTTCCTTTAATAATAAGAGGATTGCCACATCAGAATGAACCAACAACTTATCCTGCATATGTTTTATGCAGCGGATGCCCTTCCAGCTGCAATCCAACACTGAGAAATGGATAATTCATCCTAAAATAATAATTTACTCACCCTCGAGTGGTTCCAAACCTTTATTCTGTTGAACACAAACTAAGATATTTTAGAGATCTTAGCATTTGTACGCAGCACCTTATGTAACCTGTATATTTATAACACATCTGTACATACAATTCATCATCCATCCTCTTTTGTCTAATTGCATCTCCGTTTCATGTTTGTTGTATTATCTCATATTTTTTGGTGTTGTTACTTGTCACTTTATGTAATATGTACACTGGGAGCATTTGTAGCCAAAACAAATCCCTTGTATGTGTAAAGCACACTTGGCAATAAAACCAATTCTGATTCTGAAGACAGTTGAAATCCTTTAACCTTTGACATCCATAGTAAGAAAAACACTTACTACTGAAGTCAATAGTTACAGGTTTAACTTTCTTCAAATGATCATCTTTTGTGTTCAACAGAACAAAAAATCTCAAACTGGTTTGTGACAAGTTTAGTAAATGATGACATAATTTTTGTTTTTGGGGGAGCTATCCCTTTAATAACTTCAGTCTGTCTTTAAAATAAACCCTTCTGCGAGATGATTCTGTACTTGTGCATATAGTAGACATATTCTGTTTAAAATGCTACAATTTGTAAATTTTCTCTGTTTCTTCGTTAAATGTTTAGAGGTTTTGAATGAGAGCCCCCTCTGGACTTACAACTAGATTTACTACTGATGACATAAACATGCTTCCCTGACAAGATGTGCATGACGATTACATTTTTATTTCAATTTATTACCCTTATCATGCATTTTCAACTGCATCAATTTCCTTCGTAGGACTGATGGGAGCTTTGCTGTCAACGATGTGCCCTCTGGCTCATATGTGGTTGAAATTGTATCGCCATCTTTCAGATTTGAACCTGTTAGGGTGGACATCACCTCCAAAGGGAAAATGAGGTAGCTAACATTAGTAATTATCCTCCCTTCTGACACAACTTTTTGTACACCTCTGTTAATCTCTGTTTTTTTTTTTACCCGTAGGGCACGCCTGGTGAATTACATCAAAACCTCTGAAGTTATTCGTCAGCCATATCCTCTTCAGATCAGAGCCGGTGGTCCACACACGTATTTCATGAAGCGGGAAACCTGGGGATGGACTGATTTTCTGATGAACCCAATGGTATGATTTTATAATAATGTCTGTGTGATTCGTCAGATGGTTGCAATTTATTGTTAACTATTTTAAAGGTCCCGTGAGATTAAAATGAAAAAATGTAGATGTTAGTTTCAGGATATTAGTTTCTGTTAGCTAGTGTGCTCCAAAACAGTGACAATTTACATTTTTGTAAGTTTACAAATTTACATTTACATTGTTATACAAATTTACAGAAAATATATTACTAATGTAAACATGTGAAGCTTGCAGTTTTTCACTTTCACCTAAATTGATCAACATTTTATACACATCACCTTATACTTAAGTGTCTCATTAAATCTTGACCAATATCTGGTATCTGATATCTGACATGCCCCGCCCCCTTCTCATTTGCTTTTATTTGATGTGTTTGAGCTCAACCACTCTCGCTGGCAGAGCTGTGATCAACTAAACACAATTGGCTGTTTTGTTAACTATATGTCCCACCTTCTCTTCATTTTCTCATTGAGATTGTGTCAAACATCGAATAAAAAATGCACATTTCAAAGTACTTCACAGGACCTTTAAAACTTGTCTTCTAGTTTACAGAGCTTGATATAAGCTGGTTATGCTGTTTTAAAAGATCTTGCTTATGTGTTAAAGGTCTCATAATAGGGTTACATTAGTACAGGATAGATACTTGTTTTTTTTCTTATATATGCATTGCTTGACCTTTTTCTTATCGTATATAAAATTGGCCACAGGAAGTTTTCTTAGCACTTACAAGCATAGTCGTACAAACACTAATAATGCTGTTGGCTTTATTTTGCCTACTTTGTGTGGCATGGAGATCTATTTATCAGACCATATTTTATTGTAGAATGTAGTTTAAAGACATTGCTTGAAGGTGGAGCCCTTGCAAAATTCAAACCGATGTAATGTTTTAATTAGTTGGCTTAGTTTTATTTTAAAACGTTTTATTTCACACATCACAATAAATGGTACATCACCACAACAGTACAGGTATAGACAGTTAGCCAACAAATACAAATGTGCTTCTGTAATATCTGTTAATGTTCAAGTGTGTTCAGATCTGATTTGTGGCACCACAAAGATGGACCAGACAGTGCACTCTTTACTGACTCATTTTGAGCCTTAGTCTTTTGGAAATGCATGCAAAGTGGATTTGCTTTTGCTGTGAAGAAAATGGCATACTCTTGATTTTTTTTTTTTTAATTATTTTTTTATTAATTTATTATTTCACAACAAGGGCCAGTATTCAACATTCATCAAGAACATAAATTTACCCAAATTAGCCTAAAGACTAGTTTTTATTGGTAGTCTTTTTGCCATGTGTTAAAGACCTATACCAATAAAAATACAAATTCAAACTATAAACAACTGGAATGAACAAAAAAAACAACAACAAGTTGATACGTCAACAACACAAAGCAAATGCTATCAGGCCTCAGCTACAGTGTTTGACGGCTAACGTAGATGTTGTTTAAGGCCGCCCTGATCATAGGCTGATATTATCAATATTTGTTATAAACCGATGTAGTTTTACGCAGGAAGTAAGTTTGTGCTTCGTTTCAACAACATCTGGAAAAAATAAAAACTGCACAAACTGGAAACAATTCCCATCTGCGTCTGTTTTTGGGATTGTGGTTGGGTCTATAATTCAAGGTTTAAAGGGAGAATAATGTTAAATGACCTTACCTTTAACGGTGCAGTAGATGATCTGCCAAAATGCCAACTGAATGCCAAAAAGTATTGTTTTTTTTTTTTTTTAAAGTTTTCGTTGTTTAAAACCATTTTTAAGTGTATACATGGTCTTGATCTTATAGTACTCTGTGAGTTGATACTTAAATTCAGTAGTGATGGGGCGAAGACTAGAGGGGCAGTAGGTGGGATTTGTAGAATCTGCAGATGCAGAACCGCTGTGGGTCAGTCATCCTTTTCAGTAAAAGGTTCACATCTATGGAATGCCATGACTGTTCATTTAAAGTTACTATCAGAACTCCCAGTTTTTTCTGTAAAGATGAAAGAATGGTTGAAATCTTTACAGCAATGTGAGCATTATTCATTGTTCTTTCAGGTTGGTCCCGTTTACATTTCTCTTTATGCAGATTGACTTGCATTTTATGTTTGTGGCTCTGTATATATTGTACATGTTTGCTGTATTGTGTTTTATTTTTGATTTGTTTTTATTTTTTAATGCAGAGCCTAACCAGGGACGAGGGCTGCACATTAGCTTTATGCTATATGCCCTGTGTACGCCGGTTATCTTTGTATAGCAATGTCAAGTGTATTGTCCCTGTAAAATAAACAAACAAATAAAAAAAAAAAACTGTTAGCATAAACACAGTAATATAGCAACTCTCCTGCCGTCCACAGCCACACCTCCTGAAACTACCATTCACCACCAAAATATAGTAATTTCTAATACTACAATTCAAAATGCAAAACTGTATTATATCTAGCATGTTTTCAGTTGTGTAGTTAGCTAGCAAAATTTTCATAATGTGCAACATTTCATGCATGAAAGGATTGCTGGTCTCACTCTCTCACACGCTGTCCTAAAGTGACTATGGTGCTTGGCCGGCGGCATGCAAAAATTACACTTATTACTAAGCCATTCTCACATGTTTTTTCAGACCGAATATTTAGAGTAGCATGGTAAAAAAATATAGAGAGCGCATCACTTGTTGTCATTGTTCAAAAATGAACCAATGTAAATATATAAAACCATCTTCACCTCAGTAAAGCAGTCTAGGCAGATGAGATAATGCTATTTACTTATGTTTTCTTGTTAAACTAAATAAAAATCTACATTACAAATCTCCTGTCCTGGAGGGCTGGTGTCCTGCATAGTTTAGCTCCAACTTCCTCCAACGCCACTGCCTGGACGTTTCTAGTATACAGAGAAAGAGCTTGATTAGCTGATTCAGGTGTGTTTAATTGGGGTTGGAATTAAAATATGCCAGACATCGGCCCTCCAGGACCGAGTTTAGACATCCCTGCTGTAAAAAGTTCCTTTATGAAGCTTAAAATAGTCACATCAATCTTTCTCTTGAAGATTTCAGTGGGTAAACAACATTTCTGTGCATATAGCCCATTCGTAACAACAAAATCTGCATAAGTTTTGCATTACATTTCTAAGACAAATACTTCAGCCATGGTGTCATCCTTCCTCCAGAGTGCAAAAATAAGTCCAATATTGATTCAGGATTTTAAAAAGTTTTGATTCGGCATTTGTTTTTACCGCTGTCACTCTCTCACAAACGGCTGATCTGTCTGCATGAACTGGTGCACAGATGAACGAATCTACATTTGTTGACTGACAGTTTTTCACTACTTATCAGAATTATGGAAATTATCGGCCCGAAAACAGATTTAATTGGATGAAGATCTTTCAGTCTTATGCCTTACCCAGAATACAAAAATACATAGAAATAGATTTAGATCATTTACTTTAATCATTACTCCTGGAATGTGACGAAATTACCAGCACAAAAAAAAATTTCTAAAGACAATCACCTACTGCACCTTTAATATGAAATCTTTTTCTTCACTTTTAGGTTATGATGATGGTTCTTCCTTTACTAATCATCGTCCTGCTCCCCAAGGTGGTAAATACTAATGATCCCGAGATGAGAAAGGTAATGTAAAATATAGAAAGTCCTACATGCACATCATAAACCCGATATCCTGCTTCTCTGTATAATGCTTTATTCATGGTATTTTATATTTGTTTGTTTTTTTTTCCTGCAGGAAATGGAGCAATCAATGAATATGTTGAACCCTAACCCAGAATTACCAGATGTTTCTGAATTCATGACAAAATTGTTCTCCAAGGGCTCCAGTAAGTCTGGCGGAGGCAACAAAGGCAGTAGAAGTGTTGCCACGAAGAGGAGGTAGTGCTGTGAACATTTGGGATCAATTTTTTCGTTTTCTTTAACACTGTTTTACTGGTTTCCCTCTTCTATTTCTTTTTTTATATATAAAACAGTTTCTTTTTCAACTGAAATGCTTGACGAAGTAAGATTGTGTTTGCACTGTACTGCTTTTCCATGCTTAACTGTCTTCTTTGGATGCATTGTTAAAAAAACAGATTATTTTAATCATTGTAGTGATGTGCGGAAATTTATATATATATAAATACACATTTAATAATAGGTTAAAACTGTACAGATGGATCAATGCATGGATTTCTTTCTTTTTTTAATAAAAGAGCTTAACTAGGATGTTTTAACTTTAAAAGTAGAAAGAGTGCGAAAGTTAAGTACTGGATTGGTCAAGAGGACAGTTAGATGATTTTTACAGAAACATTTCAATATCTTGTAATGCAATTAACATAATAGTAGTCTATGCTTTTACTGCTGCTGGTGGACAAGATTCATTACACATATGATTCCTTCTTAGAACTGAGGTCAATGCAGTTTCACCTTCCTTATGACCTATCTATAAAACAAAAGTGAGCGGTAAAGCTTTATTAAGTTGTATAAAATTCTAGTGCGTTGGCTGTTGTGTTGAGGCAATACCTGCACTGATGAAGACTGATGCACAAGCTAATATTTACATGCAGGTGTTTTGCGCAGTCTGTCACGGGACTTCTGCGATTATTTCAAAAAGTCGGTTTGAGCTAAAGGGTCAAAATATATTAAAAATATATATAAATGAATGATGGTCTATCTTTGCAGTGATGCCTTGTTCATTTTCTGACCAGCATGAGGAGGTGGCATTGACACACCGGTTCTGTTTTGTAACTACTTGAAAAAAAAGCTTTTAAGTTATATTTACTATATCTTGTTGGGTTCATGCAAGACTGTGAATGAAGATGAGAAATGCATAAGATGTAAGCTATGAAGTATAATCTAATTTAAACTAAATGGAAATAAACTGTGGTGGGAAATAACTTCAACGTCTTGTTTATTTTGCCTACTATGTGATGCGCGGAAAAAAAAAATTCAGACCATATTTTATTCAGGGTGTCTGCGGGCTCTTAAAGTATAAAAAGTTGATAAATTATTTGTGGGGAATGATTAAATGGGAAAATGTAAGTTTTTGTACTGCTGCTTGGTGAGAGACGAGTTTAAACAATGGCTGAAGCCTGTTGCTGAAAACAACCAATTTATTCTTTCAAACTTTGTTTCTTCCAAGCTTATCTGAGTTCTGTTTCACCATTGTGCTCCATTCGTTTATTTAGCTACAACTGTTTATTAACAATATTCTGAGAAGGTCTTTAAAAAGTCTCAAAAAGGTGTTGAAATTACCTTTAGGATTCCTGCATATACAGTACTCTATTATTGTAAAATGTAGTTTAAAGACATCAGTTTAACATGGAAAAACACGTCAATTATTTGCCTTAAATTAGTCTTAAAACATTTATTTCACACATCACATTAGATGGTACATCACTAAAACAGAACGGGTATAGACGTATTAAACAGAATGAGTGGAAAACAGTCAGGCAACAAATATAAACGTGCTTCTGTAATATCTGTTAATGTTCAAGTGAGTTCAGATCTGATTTGTGGCACCACAAAGATAAGATTTGTTTTATTTAATATGGACCAGTCAGTGCGCTCTTTGTGATTAATTGTTGTAGAAATGTAAAATGTGCGTTGAATGTATATGAGTAATGTGGGAATTTCTGCACCTCCAGAATGAAACTACAATCATTTGAGTGTCTTTTTACAGAAGTGATCGTTTTCCAGCTCCATAATCTGAAGATCTGTGTCTGGTTCTGCAGATGAGATCCTTTGCTTTGCACAGCTGATATTTCACCGTTTTGGTTTCTATGCATGCAGTGCCACTGACATGATGGGGTGTACAATACATAATATTAAAAATTGCTTTATCACAAAAGGTTAACCTGGTAATAAACACTTTGTTCTTGTTATCTATGATTTCACAGTCCATATTTTTTCTTTATTGTCCTTATATTTCTAAAAACATTTCACAATACCAAATCCACACTGTTATGTAAACATGTTAATATAAAAAAAAGTAATTAAAAGCTAAATCAAAAGTTCTTTTTAAAACCTTAGCACATTATTTTACAGTCCAGTTCTGATTGTAAAGTACTTTTTACACAATGGGCTATATGCACAGCTAACTTCTGGTGATAGTTTATTGTGACTATTTTCAATTTCATAAGGTTCCTTTAACACAATCAACATTACAATGCGATTACAAAACATTCAGTTAAATAGACTTAAGCATTCATTTAATTTGAAAGACTTTAACTGCTAGTGCCGTCAGTACCAGCAGGCTAGTGGAGAAACTCCATTGAGGGTAAAACTAACTGTCATATTTTTAATGCAATGCTTTCTGTCCATTCTGAGACCCGTTTCATATTGTATATCCATCAGGCAGTGAAGATCACTAATTTGTAAAGAAATCAGATCTTAAACATGGCAATTTTATAATGGAAAGTGCTGAGGCTGCCTGGCTGAAATTAAAAGTCTGTGCATATACTCCATTACTGCGTAAAAACTAGCCATTGAACCTTCCTAAACCTAACCTTAAGCCAGTTACTTTATTTTATCCAGTACATTGTACAGCATGTGAGGGAATGTGCTGTAACATAAAGCACAACACAGTTTGGCATTATGAACAAAGTGTCTGCATAAACGTTTTCTTCAGGCTCGTAGCCAGGGGGTTTCGGGTGGTACGAAAGACACCCCTCCCCCCACTGCTATATTGACTGCTGTATTTTAGCTTATTTGTCCCATTTATGCTGCCATGTGAAAATAAACAATAGAAGAAGGCTTTTAGACAAATCTAATTTTTAATTATTCAAATGGACAAATTCTGACTGAGAAAATGAGCTGGCCAGTTTATTACTGCCTGTTTCTTTTTTTCATTTAAAACAAGTTTTAAACAGATTCCGAATTGTTTTTGGTTGTTTAAATTATGGAAGATAATAAATTAGTATTTTAAAAATAAGCATTTTTTTATTTTCAAAATTAGTAATTTACAATTCTTAGCTTATTGCATTATTCATATTTTAAATTTATTAATTTCTAAATAAACACTTTGTGGTAAAATAGTAGCCTGGTAAGCACTTTGACTAAAATGTAGGAAATTTTTTGTTGCATTAAAAAATATGGTTATGATCACCATCCAACAAGCTAATCCAGCAAAAATTAGTGCTTAAAATGTCACTAAAATGCAGCATTTGAGCCACATAATTTAATAGAAAATTAAGTGAATAACTGCAAAAAGGTTCAGTTTTTGAGGGAAAAAAAGAACCACCCCTTTCAATAGGCTGGCTACGGGCCTAAATATATTGTGTATTCGATTTCTTGACAAAATAAATGTGCCTGAAAATTGCAGTTGGAATGTAAATCTAATTATGACTAACTTTAAAGGGGTTGTTCACCTAAAAATGAAGATTTACTCACCTTTAAGTGGTTCCAAACTTTCGCGAGTTTCTTTATTTCTGCTGAACACAAAAGAAGATATTTTGAAGAATGTCAGAAACTGGTAGCCATCCATAGTATGAACAATATATTTGTTTTTCCTACTGTGAATGCCATAAGATACCAGTTTTTTAACATTTTCAACATATCTTTTGTGTTCAGTAGAATAAAAAACTTGACAAGTGAAGTGTGAGTAAATAATGACAGAATTTTCAGTTTTGGGTGAACTATACCTTTAACTTTTGAAGTTAAGATCAATTTTTGTTGTAAACCACAGGTGTCAAAGCTAGCTCCTGGATGGCCGCAGCTCTGCAGTTTAGTTCCAACACTTCTTTAACACACTTACCTGTAGGTTTCAAGCAAGCTCGAAGGACTCAATTAGTTTGATCAGATGTGTTTAATCAGGGTTAAAGCTAAACTGTGCAGAGCTGCGGCCCTCCAGGAACTGGATTTGACACCTGTGTCGAAAACTCTTATGCTCCCTAAGAAGTGTGTCTAAAATACTTTGTTCAAACACTGCCTGCGAAGGATACAAATCAGCTGCCTGATTCAGATACAGCCAATGAATAAACACAAGAAATATGGTCACATATTTGATAAGAAACAATATAGCGATATGGTTTGTGACACCGTATGCACAACATACACTAAAACATATAGAATTGTACCCATATATTTGTGTGTTCATAACTTAATGGTTTTGACCACCCCAGTACAGCTTCTCCTCTCCCCTATTCTTCTTCCACTTGCAGAGGATTAACATCCAAAAGGTCTTCTGGAAGGTCTTGTTGCATAAGGCGTAGCACATGGGGTTGACGGTGCTGTTGACGTAGCAGAGCCAGTAGCCCAGCTGCCAGAGGGATGTTGGGATGCAGTTGGAACAGAAGGTGGAGATGAGCACCATGATGTTGTATGGTGTCCAAGTAAGAAGAAAGGCTAGAAGGATGGCACTAAGAGTCTGAGCTGCTTTCTTCTCCTTGATGAGAACCATTCTTTTACGTTTGGTCATCTGGATCTTAAGGTTTGGGTCTTCTGGTTTGGTAGAAGAGGATGTGGAGGAAGGAGCCTGTTGGTCTGAGGACTGATCCGGGTTTGCTCTCTCACTCTCACTATTACCTTGCAAAACAGTGATGTCGCTAATGATTGGCTTGAATTTGTATGACAAGCACTTTTTATTGTTCGTTTGTGAGCATTTTGCAAGATCACTTAGATATTTGCTATCTTCATAGCAGACCAGCTGTCCGTTCTTACTTACTGGTGGTTCCTGGTTCTTGAAGGATTCTCTCGGCGTTGACTCTGAGACTGACCGGTCATCGTCCTCGGATGAGGTGTAACTGTTCAGGGTGGTGACCTGCTCAGATTTTGTCCACAAGTCATCAGACTGCAATGTTGTCCGAGTTACGTAACTCTGGTTGGACGAAGACCATGATGCTTGAGTCCCGTCTCTCTTGTTTTTAAAGCTAAAGCATCGAAGGATTGGTTTTCGTACTTTAGGGCCGTCCTGGCTGTCCAGCGATGGATATCCCTGAAGTTCTGCTAAATTCTTAGTGCGTTTTTCTGTTTCTTTGTAGATTTTGCAATATAGTATGGTCATGATGGATACTGGGACATAAAAGGCCGCTATGGCTGTCCCAAATGTAATTATGGGTTCTGAGAAAAACTGGATTTGGCACTGGTCAAGAGGAACTTTCCTCTCTCCAACAAAGTACTGCCAGCACAGAATGGGTGGAGCCCACAATATAAACGATATCAACCAGGCCATGCCAATCATGATCCCTGCCCGCTTCGGGGTTCGTTTAGCCCTGTAGGTAAGCGGCCTTGTAATGGAGAAGTATCTATCAAAGCTGATGACCAGCAAGTTCATCACTGATGCATTGCTTGCAACGTAATCAAGTGCCAACCACAGATCACATGCTGTATTCCCTAAAGACCAGTATCCCATGAGAATGTAGCACGTGTAGAGGTTCATAGAGAACACACCGATAATCAGGTCTGCGAAAGCTAAACTGAGTAAGTAGTAATTGTTGACGGTCTTCAGTTGGCTGTTGACTTTGAAGGAGAGCATCACTAAAACGTTCCCCACTATTGTGATGAGACTCACAATGGCTGATACTGTGGCAATGGTTATGACCTCCAGCAGACTGTATGGGTCAGGCGGGATGGCAGATACATTTCCCCTCACAGTAATGTTTTTTATATCCATGTCCATCCTGAGACTGCTGACTGGTTAGTAAAGTCTGGAACACAGTTTCACAGTTTTCTTCATGGTCACTTGGCAATGGACAAGCTGAAAATAGAGAATAAACATGATTCAAAAAGAGAAACATAAATGTGTGTGTTTCATTGACAACTGTAAATCAGTGGCAAGGCCCAAAATTGTAATGTGAGTGGACATTGGTTTTGGGTTAAAAGAAAATCTCTTTTGTGTAGCCTAATAAGAAGATTTTAAAGTAAATGATTAAGTATTGTGATATTGGAGGTCCTACATTCCCAGCTCTATACAACTTCAATGTTTTTCCTTATGTTGTTAATTATTAAAAGGAAGTATTTTTACTTTTAGGACCGTTAAGATATTTTGTAGCACAGTAGGTAACGCTCTCGCCTCACAGCAAAGAAGGTCGCTGGTTTGAGCCTCGGCTGGGTCAGTTGGCATTCCTGTGTGGAGTTTGCATGTTCTCCTCGTGTTGGCATCGGTTGGGTCCATTTGTTTCTCCACTAAAAAATCCATTCATAAAATCATGTCTTTATTTTTAGAACTTGTCATCTCAAATCCCTCATCTATTTCTTATTAGAACAAACTTTTTGATGATGTTAAATGGTCGTATGTTTGGTTATTCCCCCAGATCTTTTTTTTTTTTTTAACAAAGGAAGTTAAAGAAATATCTTTAAAAATGATTCATAGATTTCATCCAGTGTAACAATTTTTACAGAAATTCAAAAATGACATTGACGTCTCTTGCTCTTTCTGTAAGACTACTCCGGAGTCTGTTGTTCACTTTTTTTTGGGAAGTCCTTTTGTTAAATCTTTCTGGTCTGATGTAAAGTCTCTAATTTTCCAAAAGGTTTGTGGTGATTTTTCTTTAAGGCATATTATTTTGGGGTTTTATATGAAAGAAAATCTTTTTGTATAAACATTTTATTTATTGGAAAGTTTTTTTTATACATAAATGTAAATAAACTCAACGGAGGCCAAATTTTGTATTTTTAAAATGAGAATTGGATCTCTATTTAAGAACCATCACAGAGTCTTATACAAAGAAAGCAATTAAAATTTGTATTAAAAAGTGCTTTATTTAATATTCTACATTAATTTGTATTATTTTTTATGTGCTCTCTTTTATTTATTTTTTGTTTCTCCTGTTTGTTTCTCTTGTCTTTCTTTTGCTTTATATTTCTTTAAACATGTCACATTTCTCGCAAAAAAAGTAATATTTGTATTGTTTGTACTATACTTCTGTTTGTCTTTCTATCTGTTGTTATTGCCTGTTGTTATTGCAATAAAAAAGGTGTTTCCCAGTGATGGGTTGCAGCTGGAAGAGCATCCACTGCATAAAAATATGCTGGATAAATTGGCGGTTTATTCCCCTGTGGCAACCCCAGATTAATAAAGGAACTAAACTGAAAAAAAGAATGAATGAATGCAGTAAACTGAGTTTTTGCAATTTCTTTATTCACATTATAATTAGACTACTGTTTAATTCTATAGCCAACAAATAATGAAAAAAGCCCATCTTAACACATTAAGATCTCACATGTTCCAAAAACTGGTCCTATTACTTCTTATACTCGTATGTTTCCCCAGATCTACCAACTTGGATTTTATATCTGCTGCTGCGTTCATGATTAGGCGGAACTAGTGAACGCGCGGAACGTTTATCCATTCAAGGGGGAGCTATTAAATGTGACCCATGTTTTGAAGTTACACCATTACAGTCTCGGCATTAGTTTTATTCTTTCATTTTCCTTCATGGAGAGCGCACATAACAGCCGTGGACGCGGTGGTCACTGGAAAAGAGGAGGTGGCGGTGATGCTGGAGAGCACAGGGGACGCGGAAGAGGAGGACACCAGCATCGGGGAAGAGGAAAACGGGATCACCGTAGAGGAAGAGGACGAGAACACGGTCCTCCTGCAGACTTCAGAGACTTTCGACGAGTGAGTAACATCAATAAAAAAAATCTCATCACACTGACAATTGTTTTGTTGTCAAAGTTAGCTATAGTGATAGTGCGCCATTGGTATAAAATATATGAGTGATACTATATATGAGTGATAAAATATATGAGTGATACTGCACAAAATGCCTCTAACTAGTTTTTTTTAATAAACTAAACTCATTTAGAGAGACTCACAATGCTGGACTGTTAATTTACTAATGAATAGGTACATATTTAGTGTTGTTATTCTAGTAACATGACTGTACTGTACAGTAATATATTTTCGTCTTGGCAATAAGTTATTAACAAAGGAATTTATCATTTAGCAAAGCGACTTAAATGAGAACAATACGAGTAATTGAGTAATCAAACCAGGAATCGAACAAAACATTGTGTCAATATACATTTAATAATACGAAGTAAAAAGACATAACAGGTATTACAAATTTATTTATCTTTTTATTTTTGCTTTGTTTGAAAAGATCTGCGTGCTACTTGGTGTCCGCAAGGGTCTTAAAAGTCTTAAAATGTCTTAAATTTCAAAAACAAAATTTTAGGCCTTAAAAGTCTTAAAATCAATGAAATATTGTGTTGTGGGTCTGAAATCATTTCAAACAGGTCTTAATTTCCCAACACCTGATCACCAATAATCCATCTCAAAACTTTTTTTGTATGTATATTCAAGTTTTCTTTTATTGCAAAGAGATATTGTTGTGATATTTTTTCCAAATTAAATTTCCTAATCAACCAAAGAAAACTAAAGCAACACATCCCTTTACACACCATCTTCCATTAATGCAAAAACTATTTACAGAAGTAACCACGCCATTAGATAAAAACCTTTTGTGTTAAATCTAAGTCTAAAATTGAACTCATAATGGTCTTAAAAGGGTCTTAAAACGTCTCAAATTTGATTTGAAGATACCTGCAGAAACCCTGGTGCTACTATTAATACAATTAAGCTTGTCAACAATTTTAAAATATTTCTGCATTAATAACTATTAAAAAAATTAAGTGGATCTTCTGCATGTGAGCATTCATATTCCTAATTTTGCCAATGCTTCCTTCTCATACTTTTACTGATTACTTTCCAGAATCAAGATGAGCCTGATGACAAGGAAAACGTTGAGGACATGGAGGAGGACAACACTTTCAATAGACGAAAGCTTGAGTCCAACTGGGACCGTTATAAGGAATCGGAAAAAGAAGAAATGAACGAAGATGTTCCTGCACAGAGAGGCACAGACTATCACGTCCTCCTCACATCAGCTGGTAAGACCTGAATGTTCACTTAAATCTGTGTTATTTTTCTTCCCATGTCTCTGATACAGTACTTTGGTATTACAATGATTGTATGAATCTGCTGGCCTTCGGTGTAGTTTTTTGATACTAAATTAGGACTACTACTAAGTTTCTGTTGCATGGTTTAATCTTATTACTTCCAAATAGCGCAGTCAGGGATTATTAACATTTACAGGCTTTATTATTTTCTGCCTAAGAAAAAATTAGCTGTAAGACCTTTTTCAGGCTGTCATCAGGGGCCTAAAAAGTCTTAAAGTGTTGAATTTTAAAAAACATTTCCTTAAGACTTCTTAAATTCACTGAAATGTTGTCTTGTAGTTCTTAAATTATTTTAAGATTTTATTTTAAAAATATTTACATTTTCTTTTGTTTATATACAGCTACCCAGTCGATCCAACGCGCATTCAATACATCTCAATAAACTTTTTAGCAAAGCTCTATTAGTAATATTATAACAGTATGTTTTGCATACATTTAGTTTATTACAAATTTAAAGAGTTTTTTTTAAGAAAAAAAATTAATGTATGCAGCTAGGGTCTGCTTGATTTGACACATTATTTTAATTTAAATATGTGACTAAAATGTACTAAATTTGTTTTTTGATAAGGCAAGTAAATCATTTTTTTACCAGTCCATTTACAAAATCTTTAGCGTTTAGCCTTATGGAAGTCTCAAATTTTCAATCTTGATGGTCTTAAAAGGGTCTTAAAAAGTCTTAGATTTGATTGGTGAAACCTGCAAAAATCTTTTTATTTACACTCTCAGAAATAAATGTTTAAAAGAGTACATATTAATGCTTAATTAATCTACAATAGTCCCTTAAACTTATATATTAGTACCTAAGGCTCCATATTGTACCTTGAAGGTACATGCTTTATACCTAAAAAGTACAAAAATTGACCTTTTGATAGGGTGGCATCTCAGTGACTGCTTTTGCTCCTGAGAGTGTATTTTTTTTAAAGAGTTTTATACTATTACTCCTAAGAATGCATTACATTGATCAACAGTGACATTAAAGACTTTAACAAAATGCTACAAAATATGTTTAATAAATTTTAACAAAATATTTCTTAGCAGGAATGTTTTTTTTTTTTTGTTATTTGAATTTTTTATTGGTTTTCCAATTTGCAAATATTGCAGATGATTATCAAATACAGAGCATTAAGATAAAAATACAGTAAATAAAAAAATAATGTCATAAGTTGAGTAAATAAACCAACCCAAAACACATACAAATTAAAAAAGGGTGGGGGTTTCCAATATCATAGCCTTAATTATTATTTTGTCTCGTTACATGTTTGCTAGCATTGTGGGTCACAGACATTCTGAAATTTTCCACATTTAACAAAATAAATTTCAATTCTTTCATGTAAACTGCAGGAAAGTTTTTCAAAAGCTGCTACTCGTCCCAACACTAAGATCCACTCAATGATCGGAGGGCTACTGGAAGATTTCCAGTTTTTGGCAATCACCCATCTGCCTAGTATGATACAGCTTTGTAGAAGCTTGGGCAAAAGTCATACCAGGTCTGCAATATCCTTACAAGGTTTTCATGCAACTCTTTCCAAAAACTTCTGGGCATTGCCTTAATATAAGAAATAGGTCACCTGCTTCTTTTTGGCATCATCAGCATTTTGGATTTTTTTTGAGCACATGATTATATTTTATTTGATTTTTGAAGGATCATGTTAAAAATGGATTAATAAGGCTCAAAATTAACCTTTGCCGCATTTATGAATGACAATTTATAATAAATTCAAACAGGAATAGAATAAAGTTTTCTGTATATAATTTCATCACAATAGAGTAGATGAGACTTTCAGACACATTAAAAAATAAATATGCATCCAGCTTTTCAATGGTACCCTATACGCAAATCTAGTCTATTAGCAAGTTTTGATTTAGTTTTTTAAGTTTACGTAAAGGGTAATCAGGAAATGACCATAGCCAGCAAAATAAATGTGCTGTAAAGTGAATACAGACAGTGTACACTTTGTCCAAGGTCAGGTCATTAACACATGTCTAATTATTAAAATTAAACCATTATAAAGGCATTTGTTCCTCAAATATAATGAGCCTAAAGTGTGGATAAGTACAGGATAAGACTGCATTACACTGTTCCCTCGTGGGATTCGCCTCTCATTTCCCTAATCTGCTTCCTCGAAAGCCACATTGATATTTATGAGATATATTTGTGTCATCTAATTTTATGACAGTGAAGTACTGCAGGATGGCACTGCCTCTTGTGGTACTGCAAAAAAAGACCATACATCAATTGTGCATATCAGTGCAGTTTTATATTTTAAAAATATAAATTTTTAAAATATCATGTGTTAGTAGCAATCTGTTTATTGTTGCCAATCTGCTAAAGTTGTACTCCAAAAAAAACTGAAGCACTTAATTTGTTTTGCTGCTCTCTACATGCTTTCCTGTGTCATTCGCTGCACATTCACGATTAGTCATCAGAGCTTCAACTCACTGATCCCTGCCAATGTGGGTGTAGTTTGTATCTGTTCTCTGGATTCACAACTTCAGGATTTCTGTAGTACAGCTTGTCCATCAAAATAGTGTGGTTGTAGAGCGCTACTTGGGATGACCACCACAAAAGAAAGTTGCTGCTTATTATTTAACTTTAAAGTAGTTCAATGCATCAACCAGACTGCTTTTGATGAAGACTTATTTCTGTCTTTCAAATTCAAACCATGAAAACATATCTTTTTCAGGCTACTGTTTGACTTGGCAAGGTGTATAAACATTGTCACACCTCTTGGTCAAATATTACAGTATTATAACTTCAGTTTTATAAATAGAAAGACGGCTGTTCCGGTTTGTTTGGCTCTGTGTGTTTTTCAAAGTTTCCTGGCCTCTCCTGCGAAGCGCAACACTCTGTCTTTTATCTCATTATGATTCTGCCAGCAGGCTCTGATTAGTGAGTATGGAGGTAACGGACTGATTAGGTATAAAATGAGTGTAATTCAACTTTCACCAGGGAGTGGAACAAAGTAGAGGAGTGTCCTTCCATTACCCTTGATCTTTCTCACTATGACCAAAATTATAAATTAATCTAGGTTAATCCAATGGGTAATTTACCTAAAAATTAAAACTTTGTCCTCAGTTGGTCCAATGGTCCACAACCAAGAGCCTGGGCACCCTTGGAGTCTCTGCACAGGGGGTCTTCTTTAAGGGATAGTTCACCCAAAAATACTTGAACACAAAAACCCATAAGCATTGATTGTCAAAGTATTTGTTTTTCCTATGGATGTCAATGGTTTAGTGTTGTCACGATACTAGAATTCAATACCAATCGGTGCTGAAGTTTTAAAAACGTTTGTTTCCGATTAAGTTTTAAGCACATTCTTAAACACTGCTGATTTGCTGTTGTGTTCATGTGCTCAACTGAAATGACTGTGATTGGCCGTGAAGGTCATCAGTTCACCAAACTCACTGCTGTTTACTAAGTGTAACCACAGATACAGGGACACTGGAGTGTTTTAAACCTTTTAAGATCAGTTGATTCGTCAGCAGATCACTCGTATGTCAGCTTATAAACAGACCAGCTGATCTTTGCGGCTTTTAAACCTTCAAGTGTCTCTGTATCTGTATGTACACTCAGTAAACAGTGGTGAGTACTGTGACCTTCATGGCCAATCACAGTCATTTCTGTTGAGCATGTGAACACAATGACAAATCAGCAGTGTTTAAGAACACCATCAAATGTTAGTGGGAAATGGACGTTTTTAAAATTTTAGTATGATTAGGGCTGCACAATTATTATGTTTGCCATTCTGTCATTGACAACATTATAATGCATTGTTGAATTCTATGCTTGCCGTTCGTCATTGACAACATTATTTTTTCACACGTAAAATGAAACATTTGTTGTTATCAGATTTTCTCCTGCATTAAATTCAACATCATATAGTTATAGTGACACTGTAAAACGTTTATTTTCATGCACAACACTTTGTGTTCGCTATGAAAGAATAAAATCATATCAAATGCTTGTCATAATCATAACTCTAAAATGCGATATAATCATTTAAATGGTGTGTGCTGTTTTGGTTTCACTTTCACTTCCGAGTGTGATCGTGTCATCATGGCTGCTGTCACTTTGAGAAAAAAACATACATGCACATCATACTTCCCCCGCAGCTCTTAAACGATCTCTCTGTGCAACAAACTGAATGTTATTTACAACTTTATTAGCTTTTATTCACATCATATGCAGGATATATATCTGTTCACTAAAGTATATGCATTCGCCGCCATGCGTGCGTCCTCTCAATAGTAAACAAAGAGCTCACATGTGTTTTCGCTGCCGCAAATACTTCATTACGTTAAGACAGAAATTACATTTTTGAGTGAATTACACCTTATAAATGCACTACTTCACATTTTTAACAGTATTTCGAGGTGTCCATGTGGCTGGGCAACGTATTTATATAAATATAAAAAATATATGGGCAACGTGAAGACTTGTGCGATCGCCTTTATGGTTTTCTCAAACTTTAAAATATAAGTGGCTGAATTGTAGGGATGCTGGATTAAGATCGTGTGGAGGGTCAAATCAAGATCGCACTCTTTTTGGTTTTCTCTCTCCGATTAATCATACAACCAGATTGAATTGAATTCCAGTATCATGACAACACTACAATGGCTCCAGATTTTCATCAGATTTTTTATCAAAATAACTTCCTTTATACATTTTATTTTGGGGTGAAGAATCCCTTTAACCTGGATTCACATGACTTGGGTTCTGTCTTTTTAAAGGTGTGATTTCTAGACTTCTAGACCTTAATTTAGACATGCATCTTTGGAAAAATTAAGAGACCACTTGAACATTCTCAGTTCTGATGATTTCTTAGGTATGACTTTGAATAAATTGTTAATATTTGTTTTATTCTAAAAAGGCCTGATAATATCTCCTCCAAATGTAATTCTTTAAAAATGAGCAATTGTGAAAATACTTG